ACTCGGTCCCAAATACGGTCTGATGGTCGACCAAGCTGTCGAGTTCGACGTTGTCACAGCCGACGGAGAACAGCGCACCATTAACGAATGCAGCGACCCGGATCTTTTCTGGGCAATGCGCGGAGGCGGAGGCGGGACCTACGCTGTGCTCACATCTTACAAGTTCCAGCTCCACCCGGCCGATCCTATCAACGTATATAGCTTCCAAGCTCGCTTTCCCGCGCCGAAGAACATTACAGAGTCGAAGGTACATCGCGACATCATCACCGGGCTTGCCGCAAACCAAACGCTATTTGCCAAGCATGGAATCGCTGGATACAATTTTGTGCTCTCAGATCGTGTCGTGTTCTTGCAGGTCCTGCCCTCTAATGACACGGAGGCGATCAAAGACATCACGTCCCAATGGCACGACTTCTTGACGAACTACTCCGGTCTCAGCATCACCGAGAATGAGTATCACTCCTTCAAGAAGTTCTCGCAGTGGCATGAGTTCACGGAAAGACCCGAGATATCTCGCAACGGACCCGTGGGTCTAGGCTTCAATGGCGCAGGGCGCTTCATCCCCAGGAGTCTCTTCAACTCGTCCCACAACATCGACCGGCTCGTCACTGCAGTCGTCACCGCCATGCAATTTTCACGTGTCAAACATGGCAGTGGAGGCGCTCAGTTCTACGCTACCGGACCAGACAATACTCCTGACAACGGTAAGACCAGCGTAAATCCCATCTGGCGAGACTCGCTATGGGAAATAGTCATGGGCCAATTTTGGACGACTGCTACACCGCCTGCGGCTCGCTCGCAAATCCAAAAGACTGTCTCTGCTACGATGGACATCTTGAAAGCCGTCACACCGAATGGTGGGTGCTACTCGAACGAAGGTGATTGGACCGAGGAGAACTGGCAACAAACGTTCTTTGGGGTGCACTATGAGAGATTGCTGGCCGTGAAGAGACGCTATGATCCAACAAATCTGTTCAACTGTTGGAAGTGTGTGGGTTGGACGGGATATGATGAGTGAGTATCATGGTCTAGATCTTGCAAACAAAAACTAACTGCCACAGCCCAATGTACTCCTGCTATGCGCAAACTCGACAGGAGCCGCGGCCTTCCGTTCCTCTTGGACCTGTTGGATGAGCGGATTGCGTCTATCAGCGACTACCTTTATGTCTAGCAGTCAATGTCGCGCAAGCCACGGCCGTCACTTTTATCTTACCCTGGAACTTTGCGGTGCCTTTCTTTTCGGATTGTCTTGCTAGATCCATCGTTGTTCTTGTTTGCATCGCAAAACAATTTACACTATTCACATTCAGGCAAACTCTCGCCTCAATCTCTCGTGTCACTTTCGGGGCCAACATGCACGTGCGGGGCGCCGACGCCGATGCGTTGCCCACCGCCGCAACGCGAGTGCAACCTGGTGAGCTTCACCGGCTCGTGAGAGAGCAACGTGTGGGGGCCGTGTGTGTTGCGTTTCCGTTTGTGCTCATCTGAGGCCTTGCCATTGGCAGGCCTCTGATTGGCCGGCCCCCATTTATTCACCGGCCGTCCAACGGGGCCAACGCGCCCCAACGTGGCATATAATTGTAATCCACGCTCACTTGCGCTTTCAGACCCCCGGGTGACGCAGGATCATAACAATAACAACAACAGTTTCCCCAGCGACTTTTACTCCCACGCTCCTTTACCTGCTCCAACCCACATCACGCGACACTCAACTGCCTCACCATACTCACTCGAACCCGTGTCTACTTACGCAACTAGGTCCAAAATCCGAGTCAAGATCACTCAGGATGCATGTCAACGCCCTCATTGCCATGACGATGCCGCTTCTCGCCGCGGGCGCGCACCTCGGCTTTCGACACAGTCACAACCATGAGAAGGTCGACCCTCGTGCTATGCACACCAACGTCGTCATCGTGACTGAGACGATCTTCACGACCGTCACGCTTGAGTCAACCTCAAGCTCTGCTTCCGCCGGTTGTTCCGTCATCACTACCTCCACTGCGCTGCCAGAGCCGTCTGTCACCGTCGAGGTCCCGCAGAAGGGCGTCCCTGAAGTTGCGTCTACATCTACGTCTACTTTCACGTCCTCTGTTCCTCCTTCTGCCGCTCCTTCGTCTTACCCAGGTGGAATGTACGCTTCGCTCGACTCTGTCCCAAACGAGGCGATCATACTCAACTCCTGCGACTATGACGTCTATGTCTCGTCCATCGGCGACAACAAACAATGCAACAACAGTCCCGGGAGCGACTGCGTGACTGTATCCGCCAATAGCACTTATTCTGAACCCATTCGCACCTGTAAGGGGTCTGGCATTTCACTCAAGGTCGCGAAATCCACGAGCATGGATAATCCGATGCAATTCGAATATACCGTCTGGGACGACAAGATCCAGGTGTCTTACGACATCTCATACCTCGACTGCATGACCAAAGACGGGACCAACTTTGACAATTGCGCCGGCCACGAAAAAGGCATTCAAGCCGCGGCCAAGGATGGCCCATCCTTCGAGTGCGCCGCTAACGAGCCTTGCGCTGCGGAAGCTTACGTTGTGCCTGAGTTTGGGTACCTTCCCGATGCCCCAGTCGGCCGCGCTACTGTCGATAAAGGCGTCGCGTTCGAGATCTGCGCCGGAAACAGATCATGAGCGACGTCGTTACGAGGAAAGAGATTTTCATACCGAGATCACGATAACGAGATCATGACCTGACTATTTCTTTCCCGTGTCGACCCAACGAAGGGATCCGGCTATCTCTTTCACGAACATGATGGAGCAAGAGAGTGTGTGTTGTCTGACTATAACGATCTCTTCCAAACACTTTCTAACAATCTACGGCAGGCCCTGGATTACTTTTCGGGTTGGACAACTACATGGCCTCATGTTTCTTCTCTTCTTTGGTTTTTCTTTCATTGTACACGCTTGACTTCAAGGCTTTTTTTATCTCCTTCTTCTTCGAACAAGGGCATACACGAGTGGCGTTGGAGGATTTTGGGATATGATGCTGGCGCATGGATAGCAGCGGACGGCAGCCGGTGCTGGTGTTTTCCCTATCTGGATACTTTCACTATCAGGATAAGATAGTTTGCTTGTAAGCCTCAATCAAGAGCATAGCACAAGATCTGTTTTCACCATGCGTTGATGTAGGTGACGTGAGGGCCCCGTGGCCGATGACATGCACACGACGCTCAGACATCTCGGAGTTCTTTGCGCAGCTTCGCCCCAACGTGGTACCCATGCACCGCCAACCATGGTTGGCTCCAACTTCCGTACAACGTCCGGCGGCGTGGACACCACAATGATTACCGCTTGATTTTATTATGTCACCACGTGCAGGCGCTCGACGCGAAGGCCGTCCGCACATAAGCACCTGAGGTCAGCCTGCGATGTGGGATCTGGAGGTTTACTGACACATGGACTACTCATGATGAATTACTCACTTCTTCAGTCATGAAGTACGCTGTCATGAACGACATCTTCTTATACACATATCCTCACCTCTTTGTAGTCTTCTTCCTTCATCCACTTTTACCCTCCTAATACAAACATCTCTGTTGCAAAGCTTACCGTAATACCAACATCTTCATCGAATCCAAACACTTAAAAACGACGCATAGCGCACCCAGCTCCACACCACTGAAGCACAGCCCTGTCCTTCCGTGCCGTAAACCAACACCTACGCAACTCCAACATGGCCGTACTACACGCATGCTCGCCCATCGCAACGGCCTTACTAGCTCTACTTCTCCTACCGAGACCCGTGACAGCAGTGCCGCACAATCACGGGCACAAACACGTGCACCGACATGTCTCGCCAGCCAACGACCTCATCACTCTGGGCCCTGAGTCGCTGGCACGTCGAGACACACCCTTAGATACTGGAGACCTTCCACGCCTCAGCGATGCAGATCTCGTTAAGGTAGCACACAGATGCACCACCGGGCCAGCCGAACTTCCACTCAACGAAGGTGTACCCAATCCGGTGGACATCACCACGGTACCACAACTCGATGTCTTCCCACGTCCAGAAAGTGTGGGTGGCATGTTGACTATGCACAACTATTGTGGTTACGACCTCTACTGGTCCCACGTCAATGGGAAGAAGGTGCTATCTGACCCTACGGATACCAACGTGTTTGAAACAGGACATTTACCCGCTGGGGGAACGGAGACAAGACCCCTCGCAGGCGACAACATGAAAGTGTCTAGGATGGCGTCAGGGGATCAGCCGGTGCAACTGGAATATACCCACGCTGGGGAGAAATTGTGGTATAACCTCAGTCTGATTGACTGTCTCGGTAGGAAGGACACGAAGATTACCGCTGATATGACACATTGCGCGGGCCATGAAGCTGGAATACAAATGGGTCAGCCCGAATTCGCTTTTCAGTGTGAGGCTGGGAAGTGGTGCGACGATCAGGCATATCTGTATGGAGTAAGTCGCTATCCTTTGGATTGTTGAAGAAGTTTATTTGGAGGAAGTGATATATTGACATTTCATTCTACAGGAAAACATCTGCAGACACGAGAACGCGATATACATGGGGAAGTTTGATCAGGGTGTGACCGCAGAGTTCTGTGTCGATTTGAAGGGCTAATCTGGATGTTGGTTGCGTGGTAAGGAGTCTGTTCTGTTGAGCTTCATTCATTCGTTCGTGCTAGTTGTGTGTGCGTTGTGCAAGCAACAAAGACGCAGCAGCAACTATCTTATATTGCCCTCTTCTAACTTAGAGTGCGATGCATACTCTAGTTCTTCTATCTTGTCCTATAGTACTGCAGTAACGCGAAGCAAATAAGCAACTTACAACTTTTAAATTCTATATGCACCTATCTAATTAGGTCCTCTTAAAAAGAGAAGTATTGTTAACACAAGAGCTTTGTTCGTGCTTTGCGCATACATATAATTAATCCGCTCGTTCCTACACACTTATCGACCCAAGTAGCCGTCATGCAAGGAGAACAGAAGTTCACTGACTCACAACCTGTATCTGAAGTCCGCCTCGCCTAGCCTAGCCGACTTCTCAGAAATCTCCTCAACTGTCCGATAGCCCCCTCATCCAAAGTTTGCTCACAAGAATCTGACTCGATATGCTGGAACAAGCTCGACAGCTTCGACATCGCCGCATCGCAAGTCGGGCACATGAATGGAGTAGCTTCATACAACGTATCCCCATCATCAAGCAGCTCATCCCGATAGTCCGCGTCGATGAACTGATCCCATCTATAGCACTCGGCTGCCAACTTGTTGAGATCGGTGGAGTCGATATCGCCGCAGGTGCCGCGTTCGAGATGGATGATCTATGATGGTAAGCGACAAGTTGTATTTGGTTGCATACATGACTTACCATGCCGCCGTAGGTCTTGAACATGCCCGTGCATTCGTAGCATTTGTACCTCGGTGTACGATGGGAAAGCTGATGCTGCGTATGGTTAGCATTTGACGCACATCTGCCATACAGTCGTACCACTTACCTGGTGAAGATTGCTCGGTGAGTCAAAGTGCCTCTCGCACTGGGTGCATACATTGGACTCTTCAACATGGTCCCAGTACTCCTTCGATCCAGGACGAAATAGATTTCCATCTCCATCGTTACAATCTTGACACACGGTGTAACAGCCCTCGTCGCGGCAGTGCTCGAGCAATTCGTCCCAGGTATCGCCGTCAAAGTCGCATTTGAAGCAGTAGTGGTGCTTTGTAGAGTGGCGGAAGTGTGCATCGCATGCGCCGAGAGTGCGGAAGGAGCGAACGCAGCGTTGACACCAGCTGTTTGATGTCAGCGGAGGAAATGCATGCATATTAGTCACTTACACAGCCATCTCAGGGAGTCTTGTTGTCGAATAGCGGCTGGTCGTAGGCTTAGCGGAAGGGTTTGATATTTTAGTATAATGAGGAATTGCGTAAAAACCGCGTGAGCACTGCAGTGACCTCGTCACGTCGTAGTTGATCGGATGGCTGCCTGAATAAATGTGGCCCCATATTAGCGGCGCAAACAAATAACGGAAATAGAAATAGTGAAAGCAAGCACAGCGGCACGTGTTCAATAATATAATTAGCTAAACGGCTACTCAGGTAGCTTCATCTCTATGAACTCCATTCCTTGAAAGCCTTCTGCTTTTGCCTGCTATTCCACTGCAGAGTCCTCGATATACTATCGATCCAATCCGTTCTCCTCTTGTTCAGTGGCAGCACACTGGGGAACGGGAAGCGACTTGCGCTAATCGTAACGTAGTCGCCCGGTTTGAGTTCGACCCTCTCTCTGCCGTCAAAGCTGGCCCATGAACTCGTCCTCGCGTCGTATGGCACACCGCACCGGAGCACTATAGTATCGGGTAGGATGATGGGGCGGAAGGAGAGCGTATGTGCGCAGATGGCGGTAACGAGGACCACAGGGTTGTCGGGGTGGCAGAGCGATCCACCTGCCGCAAGGTTGTACGCAGTCGAGCCCGTAGGCGTAGACACGCAAATACCGTCAGCCTGCACAGTCGTGAAATGCTCGTCGTCTCCGAACAGCTCGATGGACGACATTGTAGGGTTTGGGCCCCGGTCTACGACCACCTCGTTCAAGATGTTATGTGTACCATCGGAGTAGTGGGTATGGTGGTCGTCGATTTCCTCCCCGATCAGTTCTTCGACCAGATCGCGGCCCTCGCCGTCCCGTTGTTGGGATCGCATGACGGTAGCTTCGAAGCGGAGACGCAGGCTGACGGTGATACCGTCCGCGAAGGCGGTAGATAGGGATTGCGGGTATAGTTCGAAATCGAATTTGGTGAGGAAGCCGAGCGAGCCTAGTGAGAAGGAAATCGTTGGAGGTACGATGCGCTGGAAGAGCCATGACGCATACAAGACTGTGCCGTCACCACCCAGCTGTGTTGTCGTTAGCCTTGAAGACTCCGCAGTATGACATGTCTTACCGCGAGGACAATGTCAAAGGTTTGTGGCTTTTGAGCGCACATCTCGTTGGTCCAGAATTTGAGCCGCCCTTGAAACCCCTCGTTCTCCAACAGCCCAGCAGCGTCGAAGATCTTGTTGTCCTCCAGCGTCTGCTCGACGTAGCTATGTCTCGTTAATCGTGTCCGTTGCTAGGCAAAACTAGCACATACACCGTATGCTCCGAGCTCTTCCGCAGAAGCCAGTCGGTCACCTCGCGCGAGTTCTTGATCAAGGCCTCGTCGTGCGCTTTGCCGAGGATGAAGATGTTCTTCACATGCAGCTTCAGCCTGATCTGTGACAGCTTCTTGGACAGCTCGCGTATTCCAAATGCCATATCTGACAGCTCCTTCTTGGTCAACAGCCGCGAATGTTGCGTCTGCTCCGAGCGCGCCGAGGCTGGGTCTTTGTCGACGCGCCGTTCCTGCGCGAGGCCTTCGTGCGATTGGGAGTGATCTTGTACGGGCAAGCCATCGTGCTTTTCGAGAAGGGAGTGTACGATACACGCGGTGGTACGGCGACCGTTCTCGGGGCGGGACGTCATCTTGCCAGAGGGTGGGGGTGCGAGCGAGGCTTTGCGACGATGGCCGCTATATCCGCCTTCGAAAACGACCTGCGATTATTGGTCAGCGCGTGGAGGAAGAGTGCAGTGGAGTAGGTACCTCTAGCGCATCGTCATGGCTGGTCACTTTGGTGATATTCTTGGTGTCTTGGTCTCCAAGCTCGCTCTCCATGAGGAAGTTAGCTTCAACGCGTCTTTATGACGTTTGGGGGGTGCATAGGTACCTCGATTGCTTCCTGAACGCCAGGGCTCAGCTGATCGAAATAACTCGTCGCCATGGCCGAAGTGCGCAAATAGTCCTGCGATTGAAAGGGCCAAGGGCTACCGCTGCCCTTTTGTAGCCTTGCTGTAGCGCGTGCGTAATGTCCAAGGTGCAACAGTAACTGCGGTTCTCGGCCCACTTTCCGAGGGGCAGGCACGCCCGGCCCCGCTTGCTTCCAATCATGTCCGCGCAACGCCGATGAGATCAGCCGCCGGCGTCCTTACCCATGCCTTTTGCTCAACCACCATCATTTTCGTGGCGGTAGTCTTGCTGACAAAGGATGCTAAAGCGGAACCTCCACTGATTCTAGCACTTCCTCGATGACATCCTCAACCGTGACACCTTCGAGGACAGCCTTGACCGCTTCAAGCGAGCTGCCCCATTGCATGCTGCGCTCGTTCTCTGGTGCTGTGATGACAATGCGATGTGGGTATATCTTGCGAGCGGCGAGGGCGATCATGGACGGCGAGATATAATCGAGACCGTGGAGTGGGGCGAGCGTACTACTGGCGTCAGTACCATCTTGATGAGATTGTGGACCACTCACTGTGCCAGCGTGTTGAAGTGTCTTGTGGCCAAAGCAGAGATGCCTCCTGCAACTGCTCGATGCAGTCGCATGAACACGATAATGTTGTATAGATAGGCTCTTACTTCAGAACTGATTCTGACTTGCGACACCAGCTTCGTCAAAGTCTCAAGGTCCTATCCTTGTTAGTATGGAACAAGCATAGTACGGTCGACATACATCAGGCAGGAATAATGCTTGCTGCGGCTTATGCTTTCCCGGTTGGAATGGCGGCGTGCGAACTACGGAAGACATTGATGCACCGTCGTCTGATGCATGATTCTTTTCTTGCAGCTCTTCAAGATTAGGCAGTCCATCATCTTCTTGATGCTTGTGTGAGATGAAGAACTGATCATTCTGTAACATTGTTAGACTCTGCATCGTGATTTTAGGTTAGACCTACCAGATGCATGGTTAAACGCGGCGTGTCTGAAGCATTCAAGGCAATGAACAGGAATGGTTTCGGGGCCGCATGTACTGCTGTCCTCGTGAAGTTCCGCTTGCCTCGTATCAGCTGTCTATCGTTAGTTATGCTCGAGCAGAAAAGACGATTAATGCACCTCCAAGGCCTGGATTTGGACCTGCGGGTTCGCCCTGTTGAGGTTTCTTGCTATAACAATGTTCGCGATGCGTTGGTTGTCCAATGGACTGAACGGGTTGGATGACCTCGATGTATGTCCGCCAGGCTTCCCAGGTGATACTGAGATGGACGAAAACTGGCTAGACATTAGTCGCTGGCAAATCAGTCTACACGAGCACAAGTTACCTCTCCTCTACCACGCCCAGACTTGATGCCGAAGTAGTCGTTCTCTTCTCCTCTTACAAGGATTCCACTTCCGAAATCGTCCAGCGTGGTACGCTCGGTGCATTCCAGTACAGCCCATGTTAGTCCGAAAGTGTTGGAAGCAACCTATTGTTGTAAGCACACAGGCAGTCGCGCAATGGAATGCAACTCACAAGCTTCAACTCCTCCAGCACGTCACGGGTCAGTTGCCTTTCCGCTTCGATGATGCAATGTTGATCCGCGACCAAGCAAATGAGAACGGCGAGCTCCAGATCGCTGAGCGACTGCACTTTCTCCGTAATGCGATCTTCCGGAGCTTCCATTGTTGATAGGATCTGGGAAGGCTTACTTCTTTCTTGTGAAAGTTTTAAAAGCCTGTGAGAAGTCTCGCGATGAAAGTGCTTGGACGCGATGGCTACTTCCAAAGTCGCGTTCAGTGACCTCAAGAGCGAACAGGGATGCGACCTCGAGATGCAGCTAAACCAAGAAAGGACTAGACTCGAATCCCCTGGAAGTCGCGCCCGGGCGGGCTGCATCTCGAGGTCTGCGCAAGAGCAACTTCAAAGCGACAGCTAAGCGTATGCGCACAACACTACATATGCATGTCTGAACGAGTTTCCAATGTTCTTGTCTCTTGATATTACACTACACAAGCTCGTGAAGAGTTATGGCGTTGCCAGACGGCAAACCCATACGGTACGCCTACCCCAATCTCTACCAATCTTTCGCAACACGTAGCTTTCGGTCCAGAGGAGCTTAGCCAGACTTCTTCCGAGCGTCTTTGGTATCTTCTTTCGGGATGTCGACGAGACGAAGGCTCTTCCAGGTGGTCGACGGGATAGTTTTGGGTACTGCTGGAGAGCTCAGGGCAGGGAAAGCTTCCGTTGCCACACGAACTTTGAGAAGCCCTCCGGACGTATTGACAGATGGTTGTAGTACGGTTTCGTCATCTGCTTTCTCGTTGACAGCAGCTTGCTCCTTCTTGCTCGCGCCCTTAGGTTTGCTCTTCGTCTTCGATCCGCGAGGTGTCTTTTGCGAGGGAGCAGGCTTCAGCTTTTCCAGCTGCTTCTCGGCTTCTCGAATCTTTGCCTCAAGCGCCTCCTTCCTGTCAACTGATTCATTCATCTCCGCAGTCGTGTTCTCGAGAGTGGTCTGCCAGATGGCTACGAGGCCGTCTAGATGCTGAAGCTCCGCGGCTTGGCGATCGACCGCTGTGGTCAGTGAGACATCTGGATGTGCAACCGCCTGTAGGTCAATGTGGCGTTGCCCAGTTTTGGACTTGTGTTCTTCGGGTAGTGGTTCGTGTTCCTTCTTCAACTCGTCGTGATCGGCCTGGAGTACAGCATTCTCTGTTTGGAGAGCTTGGATGTCGTTGCTGAGTTGGTCGTAGCCTTGTTGCACAGCCTTTGCCTCGTCATCTCGTTCCTTATACTTCTGTTCCCACTCTAGCTTCGCTTGCTTGAGCAGCGCTTTCTCCCGGCTTTCCTGTAGAATTCTTGCTTCCAAAGCTTCCTTCTCCTCAAGAACCTTAGCGTAACGGGAAGCTTTGGCCTCTGCTTTGCTCAGACGATCGACGAGCTTGATCTTCTCGTCACGTACGCGTTCTTCAACCCGCTTTTCTATACCTGCCCTGTGTTCTTTCTGGAGCTCGTCATACTCTTCTTTCAGGGCCCCCCAATTCTTGTCGAAGCCCGCCTTAACGTCTGCTGTCATCCGTCTTGTGTCTTCTCTATCGCGAATTAGGGATTGAATTCTAGCGGCGGATGCTGATTCCAAGTTGCTGAGTTCGTTCCTCGCTTCTTTCAACTTCTGCTGAAGAACCTTCTCTGCTTCAGGCGACGCATTTTCAATGCTTGCCTCCAGCAATAACAACACCCTTTCCGCGATGCCGTCTCTTGTGTCGTAAGCCATAGTGTCCCATTGCTTCCGTATGCCCATGAACTCATGGAAATCCCGTTCGGATTCGTCCTTCAGGTGTTGTCTGAAAGCTGTATCATGAACCATTTCCGGCATAAAATGGCCTAAATCATCCAGTTGTTCCAATTGCATTTTCGAGCGTGCCTTGTGAGTACTGGCTTTTGTCATGGCGTTGGCCGCATCGTTGAACTTGTTGGGTAGCGCAATAAGAATATTCTTCAGATTGCTGAGTTCCGCGGAGATCTTTCCGTGCGTTTTTTGTTCGAGATCGTCAAAGTGGACTTCATACTTCCCGAAAGGCGCACGCGGCTGATCCATAGAGGGCCAAACGCTCATGTTGACCTTCTAGCTCGCGAATAGCCTGCTGGGGACTCGGAGGATTGGGGTGAGTTGTTGCGGGGGTATGTAAGGCTGGCGAGACACGTAGTTAGATACGTCTGTGACCGGGCGATCCTATGGAGGTGGGAGCTGAGCGCGTTTGATGATGTGTCAGGCGGGAGGGCGCAGTCGCGAGAAGTTAAGGTCGGTTCCAGCGGGGTTTGTTGTAGAACAACGCAATCAGGCAACACGAGATCAAAGCTCTGACTTTTCAGGAGCAGGATAAGTAGAATTGGTACGTGCATCTAAAGAGGTGGAGCTCAAGACATGTGTCACATGTTAAGACACCATTACCTTCATTGATATCTACGTCACTAGCGCCGAACAGTTCTTACTAAGATAAATACCAAGCGCGTCGCACTACCCCTACATCTGCTCATGAGCCGCAGCTATATTACGATCCATCAGCGATGTTACCTTCCTCGGAAAGTCAGGACATGGAGACGACTAACCCTTCACAGGCTACGGCAGCAATACGTACAACATTTAATTCTCAATCCAACACTACAACTTCTCTTGATGATGAGCAACATAACTCCGTCAAGCCCGATGACAACTACCCTACGACTGCAGTCTCCCAGGTTCGTCCATAGGTATCCCAATGTAGCAGCGAACTGACCGACGTCAAGACCGACACAGACTGCGCATTCTGCATTTCCATTGGCCGTATACTCGATTGTTGCCAAGCTCAAATGAACCCGCGCTCATGTCCTCAGTGCGCGAAACTCGGTCAACACTTCACTCGAAAGGATACGAAGCACATTGAAGAGCTAGCTGCTTTGCGCGACAAAGTGCGGGAGCTGGAAGAGGAGACACCGGAGCAGAGGTTCAACAGGCTGAGCGTTGAGAAGAACACGAAAATTGATGGACTGAAAGCCGAGGTCGAGAAGGTCAACAAGGAAGACGAGTCACTGAAGGCGAAGAACGATGAGTTGGAGAAGAAGCTGAAGGTACTCGAGGCAGATATAAAGAAGTCACAGCCAGCGGCGGAGTTCACGATCAAGGAGAAGAAGAAGAAAGGGAAGAAGAAGTAAATTCTGATACTTGTCTTGGGCATAGTTCCGTTGGCGCTGGACAGCAAAGGTACTCTTTGTCAATTACATGGTGATTTGGCACTTATTTTACCCCGTCAGCGCAACTTCGTAATCTCTCCGCTAACCAAACGATTTGCATCGATACCAAAAACCCCAAGACTGAACCTTCTCATTATCCGCATGCACATGCTAGAGGAGCTGGATAAGTCACAAGTAGCGAATACAAACTTGATTGAACCATAAAGTGTGTACATCTTGATGAGACTGAGAAAAGTTACGATACAAGAAACTACTATGTAGCGCTTGCTGATACTTCTCTCTCACCCCAGATACTTCATTCCTCACTCAGCGCTTATCGAGAGAGCGCCCAAGCTTTCCTTCCATCTTAGAACCAAGCTTTTCAATGGCATCGTTCTTGTCCTCGACGTCAACGCCTATCACTTCATGAAAAACATTGGCTCCAGTAACGAATATTCCCAGATAGACCACACCGTCGATACCATTGAAGTTCCGAGTCATAACATGAACGTTCTCTGGTTTTGCGACTCGGCCATACTTCTCTTCATTGCTGGCAATAAGAGCAGCGATGTTCTCTATAGTAGCTATTAGCTAGGTCTGAAAGACATGAATAATTAGGTGTGAGCAAGAAGGATCCAGGTGAGAGAAAAGCTGTGATAAGGTGAGGGAAGAGTGTGGAACGACTTACGGCTTATAGTTGTGATACGTCTATCAAGGGCAGGAGTTGTCTCAGCGTCGTAGGCATTGAAGTCTTTGCGTAGTGGATCAAGCAGACTGACGATCCGGTCCCCGATGCTTTGTGGGGCTACGACGGTGGGTTGGTGATCTTGCGTAGTGCTATCGGGAGCTGAGCCGAAGGTATTGCGCTGGTTAGAACCATCATTCACGCAGTTTGCTTGCTGGTAGGTGCCATTGAATGTAGGAACGAAAGAGTGAGACATCTTCTGTGAAATCTTGTGAGATGTAGAGGAGAAGGTGGGTAGCGATAGAAAAACGTTTATTATCATTTCTAGTCTCACCGTTTGTGCCAAGCCACTAAAGTGTAGTCTGTCGGTGTGTACGCGGGCAATGTAAGAAGCGCGAGGAAGATAAGGGTCGTTGTTGTTGATGAGTATTGTTTGCTGTGAGTCAAGCAAGAACGTCACGCTCTCAGTATCGACTGGTGAGTTGCCGTCTGACTTTTCAGGGTTTTGCGATTTCTTTTGGTCGGCTTTCTCGTCAGTTGGCGACGCACCTGGCATGATGTAATCTGGGACTGACGCGGTCGGGTTCTGTAATTATTTGGTCGTCTGACGTGCGTCGCACTGAAGGAGTGACAATGTGGTCGTACCTTTGGTGCGTTCTATCAAGCAGGCGGTCGTTGTTCCCGGAAGTCGGTCTATTTTCGGAAAGCAGTACAACTGTCGGGGTTGGATGAGAGTTGTGATGGAAGTTGTTGGTGCTGAGATGTTCTACGTCGAAAGGGAAACCGCGCTGAGACCTGTTGGACAGCCTTGGAATACATTTCATCAAGTGACCGGCTTTTATGACACAATCAATCACCCTCTATTGTTCGTAATTCACTCTGCCCGACGTTGCCTGTATAATCTTTTCTCATTACCAACCTTCTAAGAAAGATCTCGACCTAGTCCAACTCTTCAAATCCGTCGGCTCGACCAGACTTCAACTACGTAGAAATGCCAGAAGAGATGCCAGAAAGCAGCGCCCAAGAAAAGCGCGACTACATCAAGGCGTTGAAAATACAGATAGAGGCAGCAGAAGAGGAAGACAGGAGGCTAGAAAGAGATCTAGAAGAGCGAAGGCAGGAGCTGAAGGAGCTGGAGGCCAAAATTAGGGAGAAAGAAGGTATACCATCAAACTAGACATGGAAAAGAAGATGGCGATGGAGAAATGAGTAATGGGTAGAAGGGCAGCTTCGGTCAGGTCTTGGTTGATGTGAGGCGGTCTCACGATGAATTTCACGGATTATATGACAGTAGGAAGGCTCCATACATATACGCAGCTGATGAGTGTTCTTCTATTTGGACACAGCTGTGAATGGCAGTCGGTTCCCATCGTGCTCGTTGTTCATGGGTCGCGCTCCGCGGTGGTGTTGATGAATGCATGCAAAGGCCGCGACGTGAAGGCAAGACTGCGCATACAATGACATCTGCCACTTCCTGACTCGAATGCGAAACCCGAACGGTGAAAGCTCAAACCCCACAAATATCAGAACAGCGTGGCCTCTTGGGAGTTTGGTGGGAGATTCGCGATAGCTCAGGGACGGAGCTACGGCTAGCGCGCGCACGGGTAATTTCCCCAGCGACACGTTGCGAAAGCTCATGAAGCAAACCCCCTCTCCATCTTCCATCAACTGGCTGTTCGCAACCACCTTCTTCACCTTCTCGTTGTCTTCTTTCTTGTCTCTGGGCCATAGTTCGCAATCATGAGCGGCCGTAAGTCTCCACCCCACCTGTCAATGGCGCGGCGAGGCGTGCGCGCAACACCTGCGAGGAATTAATTACGGCGCGGACGAAGACCACAGCTAACGGTTGCACGTAGTACGGTTCCTCGATCTCGTCAAGCCTTTTGTGCCTCTGGTTCCTGAAATTCAGCTGCCAGAGAGCAAGGTCCCTTTCAACAACCGCCTGGTATGGACCGGTCTGACCCTCCTCGTCTTCCTCGTCATGAGCCAGATGCCGCTCTACGGAATCGTGTCGTCTGATACCTCCGACCCGCTATACTGGCTCCGCATGATGATGGCGAGTAACAGAGGAACGTTGATGGAACTGGGTATCACCCCCATCATCACCTCCGGCATGGTTTTCCAGCTCCTCGCGGGAACCCACCTCATCGACGTCAACCTCGACCTCAAGTCCGATCGCGAGCTCTACCAGACCGCGCAGAAGCTCCTCGCTATTCTCCTGTCTTTCGGTCAGGCCGTCGTCTATGTCATCTCGGGTCTCTACGGACAGCCATCCGACCTCGGTGCCGGTATCTGCGTTCTCCTCGTCATTCAGCTGATGATCGCTGGTCTGATCGTTATCCTCCTCGACGAGCTCCTCCAGAAGGGCTACGGTCTCGGCAGCGGTATCTCGCTCTTCATTGCCACCAACATTTGCGAGTCCATCATGTGGAAGGCTTTCTCGCCCACCACCATCAACACTGGTCGCGGTCCTGAGTTCGAGGGTGCTCTCATTGCCCTTGTCCACCTGCTCTTCACCTGGCCCAACAAGACTGTTGCGCTCAAGGAGGCTTTCTACCGCCAGAACCTCCCCAACGTCATGAACCTGATCTCCACCGTCATCGTCTTCGGTGCTGTCATCTACCTCCAGGGCTTCCGCGTTGAGATCCCCGTCAAGTCTGCCCGCCAGCGTGGTGTCCGTGGCTCATACCCCGTCCGCCTGTTCTACACCTCCAACATGCCCATCATGCTGCAGTCGGCTCTTTCCTCCAACGTCTTCTTGATCAGCCAGATGCTCTACAACCGTTTCTCCGACAACCTCCTTGTCAAGCTTCTCGGTGTCTGGGAGCCCAAGGAGGGTTCCGCTCAGCTTTTCGCTACCTCCGGTGTCGCCTACTACATGTATGTCTAGTCATAGTTCACGCTACACAATCAGCCACTAATCAGCTCCAGGTCTCCCCCTCTCAGCATCACCGAGGCCCTCTCCGACCCCTTGAAGACCGCCATCTTCATCGTCTACATGCTCGTCGCTTGCGCTGTCTTCTCCAAGACCTGGATCGAGGTTTCCGGCTCGTCCCCCCGCGATGTTGCCAAGCAGCTCAAGGAGCAGGGTCTGGTCATGGCTGGTCACCGTGAGGAGTCCATGTACAAGGAGCTCAAGCGCGTCATTCCTACCGCGGCTGCCTTCGGTGGTGCCTGCATTGGAGCTCTGTCCGTCGGCAGCGACCTTCTCGGTGCTCTCGGTAGCGGTACTGGTATTCTCCTTGCCGTAACCATCATCTACGGATACTTCGAAATTGCCGCCAAGGAGGGCGACATGGCCGGCCTCAAGGGCATGGTCATGGGCTAGATTAGCCCATAGGGATATTGGGTTTTTGATTTGAACGACGGATGGGTTGGGGCTGGGGTGCTTCGCCGCACATTGTAACATATGATCGAAGAACAAAAGTTTACGAAGGTCTCTGGCATCACTTTACGTACTGCAGCGTGGCGTCTGGCTAGGCTCACGATGTCGGCCCTTCTCTAATGTATCATTGTTAACCCTTAAACTGCGTTTGGACCTGATCGCACCTGCAGTATTTACTTGAAGCACTCACGTGCTCAGCCTTGGCGTCCAGTGTTGCTCCAGGCGCCTTACTCATCGAGCTTCAGTCATTCCTGCCCTGTCTGTTGCTTGCACCTAGGCATTGCATCCAACGACAGGTATGCCTCCGCCGTCATCAAGAGTCCACGTCATGGATTCAACCTTCAACAGCAGCGTCGCATTGGTCAGCTTAGCGAATGCGAAATGTGGCTTACGTGCGTACCAAACCGCCACGCTAACGCATGCTGCGGTCTGCGATGCGAAAGTCTGGGCATTGCGGCCTAGGAAACATCGTCATACACGGCATTGAGGCGTTTTACACATGGGTAATGCGAACATTAAGCGAATGCGATGTACTGTTGCGGATGCGGAATCTGGTCATGATGCAGTGCGTGTCTTCAGTTTGGACGACTACATAAGATGGGGTTGTCGCTGCTTGAGGTGAGGTATTGCAGCGATTCATCTCACTTCTGATCATCGGCCTTGCTCCTTCTCCGGATTCTAGTATTCGTACGAGATCGCTTCGTTCCAGATTCCGGATAACGCATCATCATGGCAAGCTCACTCAACAATGTCCATGCTACGCTGGACTGGAAACGCCAAAACCCACCCAAAGGACCAGACTTCGATTGGGAGATGTACCGCTATGTTCCTTCCATAGCTGGAGCGATCGTCTGCCTCGTTGTATTCTTCGTCATGGCTCTTCTACATCTGTTCCAGTTTCTCAAGTCGAGGAATCGGATTATCGTCTTTGTTGTTATCGGCGCATTATGTACGTTATGTCCTCCTGATGATCTCTCACATATCAGTGACACTCCACATGCAATTTCTTGGAATTCTGCTAATATTCGATTGCAGGCGAAGTCGGCGGATACGGCGCACGCATCGCTTCTCACTTCGACAACCAAGCCTGGGGCCCATACATCACTCAAGGTGTACTTACACTTGTCGGTCCTTTGTGGTTCGCCGCAACCATATACATGATGCTTGGCCGTACCATCAGACTCGCTGGTGGTGAAGACGTTAGTCTGATCCCAGCCAGATGGTACACAAGAATCTTTGTCACCGCGGATGTCACAACGTTGATCATCCAGGGCTTAGGTACGCGAACTTGACAAAGATGAGGACCGAAAGGATGTAAGCTAATGAGATAACAGGCGCCAGCATCATGGGAACCATGCAACTCGCCCTCGCCCTCGCAGGCGAGAAGATCGTCATCGCGGGCCTCGCACTCCAAGTCGCTACCTTCATCATCTTCCTCGTCGCCTCTTTCGACTTCCAAATCCGCATGAACAAGAAAGCCGATCATCCCTCAGCAGACTGGAAGAAGATGCTATACATACTCTACAGCGTCAGTGCGCTGATCTTGTTCCGCTGCACCTTCAGACTCATCGAGTATGCCATGGGCAACGCTGCGTATCTGATTGCGCATGAATGGACGTTGTATTGCTTCGATGCTGTGCCAATGTTTTTGGTCTTGGTGCTGTTGCTGGTTCTGCAGCCGAGTCGATATGTTGAGGGAAACTTGGGGAAATCGCGACTGGACAGCGATGGCGAGGTCGGCGTTGTGGAGAGAAAGTGATGGGTTTTGGCAGTTTGGTCAGTACTTTCAGCGCGCTTGGAGCAACTTTTACGGGTGTCCTCCATATTCCTAAGCGCAATACATTTTGCTTCTGTTCTTCAGTCTGCTTACGACCTCATCTTTTCGGCAAGTCCTGGTACATTTGCCTGGACCCACGCAGGCGAAACCTTTCAAATGCCTTCGACTTTGCACAGCAGGCTATAACATGTTTTCACATGCCAATAACGTTTATTTGAGCTTGACAGCCGGCCGTTGCGAAAGCTCACTTTGGCCCCTATGACGTGCATGACTCGAGGTAGGTCAGATCTTAGCTCTCAAGCTTGGAACAAGCGCACCCAGCCACATCTGGCGGCACGCCTCACGCAGCACCACCTCATGCTGCCACAAAATGTGATTCCTCAATCTATATTAGCTACACACAGACATCAAACGGGATGGCGCGCCGCTCCACCACGTTCGTGACTAAAAGGCCGCATCGCAAATCGAGGGGCGGATGCTTCACCTGCAAGAAGAAGAAAGTGAAGGTAAATCCAGACCTGAGGAGAGTCGTATGGAATTATTAAATTGATATGGTGCAGTGTGACGAAGCGCAGCCCAAATGTGGATACTGTAACCTCCGGAATCTGGATTGCGAATATATCCAAGATGTCCTCTCGACCTCTCGCACTTCGTCGGCAGGCCCATCGTCCAGTGATGAGGTTTTACTATCTACATTCAACACTCCAATAGACTTCAACGATCTTTCCATTGAGCTGGTACCATATCTCAGCCCACACTGCCATACATCCATAGGTACACTCACAGCCCTCGACAGTCATCTACTGCAATTCTACAGAACAGACGCCTACCGTACCGTTGTATCCTGCGACGATGCCATCATCCAGAACCTACACAAAGAGACCATACCCCAACTAAGCATTTCTAACCCATTTCTCTTATACGCCCTACTCGGTATGACAGCAACCTACAGCAACAACGTCACGCCCAATAAGACGGTCGAAAAACAAGCCCTACTCTACCGTCAAAAGACCTTTTCCACCTACAAAGAAGCCCTCAAGAACATCACAGCCGAGAATTACGAAGCCGTCCTCGTAACAGGCGGTCTTCTCCTCGCGCTCGTCCCCGGGCCAGCCACCGACACAGACGAAGATCACCTCGAATGGGTGTTCGGCCTCCTCAAACTAAGCGAAGGCCTGCGTATCCTCGCCTCCCTCCGCTGGGCCCAAGGCATCGAGAAACTTTCCGTGTACCCGTTAGTACGCCGGGAAATCAAGACGCTGCCACCCCCACCCATCATCGACGTGGCAGCCATCGAAGCGCCCATCGGTCCTCTGGGAACCACGCCTGATAACCCCAATCCAGCACCGACATACACGCCCATCCATTTCCCCACGCAAACCCGCCTCTTTCTCCCACCACCCCTGATGCAACTCCTCAAAAGCGTTATCCAAGGAAAGGAGTCAGGAACGCTAGACTGGCACCGACCAACCCTTCTCCCCGTCTTCCACGCTCTATCCCCCATCTTCCTATCTCTGTACTACTACGGGCTAGACTCTGACTTCTACGTCCGCATCTTTGTCTGGACATCTTTCCTCATGCCAGACTACCTCCAATTGATGCGGGACAAGGAACCAAGGGCTCTGGTTCTGTTCGGGTGGTGGTTGTCGCTGGCAAATCTAGCGCCGAAGGGTTGGTGGACGGGGAAGCGGGTACGTAAGACTATGGGGGCAATGGTGCGGGCGATTCAAGCGCAGCCTGTGGGGGATGGTGGGTTTGCAGAGCGCGTTTTGGGGAGTGCGTTGAGGATTGTGGATGTTGTGGATAGGGACGGGAAGGAGGCGGCGGCTAAGGCGGTGTTTGACGATTGGCCTGGGGTTAATTGGGAGGAGGGGCCGGGTAGGGCTCAGGCGTGGGAGTATGGTCAGCTGGTGGATCTGGGGAACTTGGGGGACTTAGGGGACTTGGATGGCGGTTTGGGCATGGATGCTGCTGTGGGTATCGATCTACAGGAGCTTGGTATTTCGGTTTGAAGTTGAGCTTTGGATAGCGTTGCGCATGAATCAGCTGGCTGTAAGCGGCTTATTGTCCTATCTCGGGCGTTGTCCCAGCTGTCTCTGCAGCAACATTCTTGTTTCCTGCCTCGGATTCCTCTTGGTTTTGCCCGCCTCTAGGCTCCCTGAGCATGCAATATAGCTTGATAGCGTCCTTCTCTCCCTCTCCATCCCTACACTCCATCTCCCTCGCCAACCGAAAGCCAAACTTCTCATAGATCGCGATATTCGGCTCACTCCTGCTACTCTCCAAATAGCACATCCTCCCTTCCTTATCAGCCATATCCAGCACCTCTTCCATCAATGCTCTTCCCACACCCTGTCCCTGACACTCAGGCAACACAGTAACGATGTTGCAGAAATAGTATCCCTTTGGGTCCGTCCAGAGTTCAGACTGCGCCTCTGCCTGTCGCGCCTTCCATATCCAATATCGTGTTGTGCTGAGGCCGCCGCGTCCGTACCACAGGTTCATGCGTATTTGGTTGGCCCAGAGATACCAGTACGAGAGGTATAGCGACCAGGACTCGGGTTCGGACGTGGGTCGCGGTGGGAGCCACATGGCGCAGCCGAGGATCTTGGATGGGTTTGCGGTATCGCGTGCGACGTGGAAGAGGCCATGTTCGATGCCCCAGCGGCAGCGTAGGGTGAGGGATACGCGGTTTCGTACTAGAGAGACCTGAGATGGTGAGCAACGCGCGCGAGAAGACGGGTACTGAGGTAAGTACCTTCTCGCGATCTGGAAAGACCCAGTTGTTGTAGGGATCATTGGCGAAGGCTTGTTGTATGGTATCGATTGCGCCGTCGATATCGGCCTCTTTCATGCGCGTTACTTGGATAGGCATTGTGAGAGGTTCTGTGGTGTCGAGGTGTTTTGAGATCCTTCGTATCACGGCGGCAGTAGATACGAAGATATGTGCGCCAGTCTCAAAGCTGGTAAACTTCGATAACCAGCCATGATAGGTGCGGGGAGGTTTGTAGAGCTTGTCGCATGCAACATGTGGATAGGTGATGAGATGGGAAGGTCTAAGCGACAGTCACGTGCGTTGCGGGGCCTTCCGATGCTTATCTGAGCAGGCGCGTACGAACCATCTTCACCAATCCTACCTGCAGCTGTCTTGGCCTTGTTACACAGCTTCAGCCTGGTAGCCATGTCAGCTTTCAGGAATGAGATTCCGGCCTTGGTGCCTTGGACCTGCGTGACAACGCACACTAAACACCATGGAGACTTCCAAGCAAAGACTCAGACGGGCTATGCGACTTCCTGGACCATCTATTGGCTTGAAGCGATCTCAAACAGATACTACAAATGGCCAAGCTCAGCTGCGCCCTGGCTATCAGGCTGAAGGTGGGGTACAATCGGCGGCAGCAAATCTGCCCCATCTCCAGCTCATACCTCCTTCGTCACAATCCAGAGATGGACACCAACCTACCACGCCGCCAAACAGTACCGGCTTCTCCGATAGATGGACCGAGATAAGGCAAAAGGCCGAGCTGGAGCGACCCGGTCAAGGAGCCTACCAAAGCGACGAAGAAACCCTAGTTGAGGAGTCTATCGAAAGTCAAGTGGCCCGCATCAAAGCTCGTGTAGCAGAGTTGACGAATAGTGTTAAGAGCGACATCCCTGTTTCTGCAGAGCGCAATCAGGAGAGGCCCTTGACACTACACGCTCGTCGACATACCGCTGGGAACATCACCACCTCCCCTAATGTACAGTCTGCGCCACGTCACAATGATATTTACATGGAACCTGTGATCTTCGACGACGCCTTATCCGAGCCATCTGGCATCAAAACTGTTGAAGATTCTACACGAACATCGTCAGCGGACGGAACCGACCTAACTTGTATCGAACGAGACCCATTCTGCAGACCATGGGACTCTAAGTCAATACTGAATCGTATATTATCGGAGATGGGTGTTCCAAGCGCTCGAGATGCTCTCGAAAGACTTGGATTGACCGATCTGTGGCTACCGCTGTCGAAACAACTACTCAAACGATCACTCAGTGATCCCCGTCATGTCTCTGTGTTTCTGGAATTACAAGAAGAACATCTCAGTGTGGTTCTTGCGCGTTGGACACAATCTGTCACGAGACAAAATATACACGATATGATGCTCAATCACTGCGAGTTTGAGGACGACGAAGAGATATTTGAGGATAATCGGGTTCTCGGTGAAGGGTTGGTGGGCCTTGTCGAAGAGGTGACAGTACGATCCCGAGAACCACCCATTACATGTGTGCGGAAGAAGATCATGAGACCTAAACAGCTCAAAGCGCACCAAAAGATCATGGCTGCGTTTATGCGGGAGATCAGAGTCATGCGTCAGGTCAATCATCGCCACTGCGTTCGTTTCCTTGGGAGCTACACGGACAACGAGTCCGTCAATATTCTGTCACTCCCCGTGGCTGAGATGGATCTTGCTGCGTTACTTGATAACCATATCGGAGATTATGAGTGGCCCATACTCTACAAAGGAATCGACTGTCTCTGCAACGGACTGTAAGTGGATGTCCATCTGCCCTTCCTCACAATTGAGTCACAAAGCCCGAAAGTCCACGGATCACACGCCCGACTGCACGAGTCGGCATAGATGGAAACCTTTGCTAACCATCGTCTAGATTATATCTTCACGATAACAAGATCCGGTAGGTGTACTACTATGTATTCAAGCGTACATGGGCGAGCCCCGCCGCATGAGTGCTCCCATGTGCTGATCTCAGTGATCTGTTCATCTGACAATAGGGCTGACGCGACTTAGGCACGAGGATCTGAAGCCGCAGAACATTCTGATACAAGGTCCTAATATACTACTCACCGACTTCGGGTTCAGGTGGGGCTCCTTTCAAGCTCGAATATTACGTTGCTAATGGTACGTAGCTTAGACTTCTCTGATGACTCTGTTTCGACAACTACCGGGCGTCCATCCGCATGGACGATTCGATATTCCGCGCCAGAGGTTTTGGACTCCGAACCACGCAACCGAGCTAGTGACATATTCTCTCTTGGATGTGTTCTGGTCGAGATGATCTCGGGACTTTACGGCCGCAGTCTCTCTGCAGTCAAAGATCATTGGAAGATAACTGGTAATGGGCAGTCTAGTTTCGCGCGCAACTCCGAGGCGACATCTTCTTGGTTCGCTTTGCTGTCAAACCATCCCGACAGCGGTAGACTTAAACCCATTGTCGAGTTCCTGCCAGACTTGCTGGTCACAAAACGGCTTGATCGACCGTCGGCTCGAACAGTCCTTGGTAGATTGCACAATCTGAGCCTAGTCCTACCCGACGCGCCCCATCTTAGCAACCTTTGTTGCGGACCGCCACCGGCCTTGATGGGAAACGATCAAAGTAACTTGCATACACAAGATAACCCACCATTCTTGCCCGACAATCGGGACTCTTGCATGCCATAAGAGGCGAGGGCATACGCAATACTACACTTCGACAACGCTATAGTCAACTCGCTGCCAGATACGACTGTTCTTACCTCCTCACATACAGATTCGCGCACTAACAGCGAGTGAGGCTGAACATACCATGCGTGGGACTCCATCGGGAAAATGCCCGGCGTGCAGCTATTGCAGTGACGAGCTAGCCATACGAGCAGTCCCGGTCACCTTTGGGCGATGTAATCATACTTGGATATGTCATCATACTTGACGTTCTCTTACTCGTTTCGCTCTTGGTGTGATTTCAGTGTCATTACCACACCGAAGGGCACGTGATGAAGAAAAGGAAAGAGGGGAGACAGGCAGAACTGATGGTGTACGAGAGTCAAATGCGAAAGGATAATGTATGTCACGAGCTGCAATCCAAGCAATGAGAACGAAGTTGCAAGGGCCAATTGTATTCCATGGTCCACACGATCAAAAGTACGCTGCGCATCAAACGTACGCTTTTTGTGTGACTCAAAAACCTAGATGTGCAGACGCATGCTTACCTTTTCCCTTACCCAGCATCACAACGAATCAAGCAACCAAAAAGCCGCATGATTGCTTTTCGTGACCAAGACATTCCGCTTCCGCGATAACGCTCATACACACGCAGCACACACACACACATCGTGATAGTTCTACACACGAACCCACATACTCACCGCTCGAACCCAAAAGCCCATACTCACACATGCGCTTATGTCAACATGTTCGCACAAAGCAAGCCCCGCACTACACTACAGGACACTACCCCAACCCCAGCCCAACGTCTATTCGTCATGGGATCGACAGTCCTGCATGGCCTGGTCAGTCAGCCTACCGAACCCAGTCCAGCCCAGTCCGATGACACCCTCCCGCACTGTGCGCGGGCGAAGCGAGTGAGCATGAGCGGTTCCGGATAGCGAGTGCGAGTATGCATGGGGAGCTGGTAGACCTGTTTTGACCGGGCCGTTGTTGGGTTGGGAGTTGATGGTTGATGCGGGTGTGTGGCATGACATGTGTGGCGAGGAGGCGCTGCTTTTTTGTTCCGGGGGGCTATGCTATGCGATGCTCTGAGTCTGTCGTGATTGATGTGGCGAGGGACATGTACATGGTCTTCGTACTTGGGCTGCGTAGTCGGCCCGCTGCGTACATGTATGTGTATACTTATCGGTGGATGGAGGTGACCGGCGTTGTTGATACGAACGTCTATCGTGTTAGGTCTATTGAATATTTTTGGTGGTGTTAGGACATGAGTAGGCACATGATGTCAACGTCCGAACGTCGGCATTTTCCTCCTTTGCGATCAACATGTCGACGATCTCTGTTCAACATCTTAGGCTCTCGCTTACGGCGATGTAGTATACCGTGAGATATCAGCTGATTCGCCGGGTTATACAGCCTTGTGTCCGGCTTTTTCCTTGGACCGTGGCGCTGTAAAGGTTAGGTATGAGGAGCAGGCAGCCAACCTTGTTCGGATATAGAGCATGGATGCAAGCGCGAATACGGAATGAGACGGGTTGGATACTTCGTGAGCTTCCGCTTAAAGGCACGATTATCGGCGTTGCATCCGTAGCGACGATCCGGAAATTCTTGGTTCCGAACTGTTACCTGGCATTTTAACATGCACAAGGAAGGCACAGTAAATAGCAATAATATCCCAGGGTGCTGAGGCAGCAGAACCAGGCCGTGTTGCAAGATGCATCTGCCGGAGGACAGGCGGAGACGGGTACTGTACGCAGCGCAGCATAAGTGGGCAGCTAACAAGACGCAACTAGAGATTCGAAAGCGAGAACCTGAGCCATCCTTGGATCATCGTGGTACTTGCTGATCAACTGAGAGAACGTAGCCTCCGCAAAGTCGAGACCACCCGTATGACAGCGTATAGCGCCTGCATGTACCCTTGAACTGTAAAGGGTGGGTAACTATAAGGGCAGATAGTACCACTTGGTGTGCATACAGGCGACCCGCTGGCGGCCGACGATTCAGTGTTGGGCAGTCAGGCAGCCAGTACGTGGGAGTGCGAGAGCGATCGGAAAGAGCGGAAGCAGGAAAAAAGTCGATGAAACGCAGTCCGGAAAGTTAAGCCACCGTGTTGTGTGGTGCGGGTAGTCCTTGAGCGGTCTGTTTGGGGCAACTCCAGGTCATCCTAGGCACCGGATTACTGTTAATGCTAGTAGCCAAGAGGGGTGGTGTTGCGAATGCGGGCGCTGATGGAGCGCGTACTAGCCGCATCGCCGTGAAAACATCGGTGTGTTCGACAAAGAGGCAAGCCGGGGCTGCCGTGGTCATCAGACAGGCTGGGAGGCAGGTGCGAAGGCGGCAAGTCGGGCAATAAGCGACGTGCGTGTACTCTACGCAGAAACCGATCTATGTCCTGGGCGCCCAAAAATAGAGCGTTCAATTTGCTGAGACGTACAAATCAGGACCATGCAGGTGTGACTGCTTCTGCGCATAATCGTAGGCGAATAAAGAAGGTACTTCGGGTCGTCGCTCAGTGGTGGAAGTGGACTTTTGGGATCGCCGCGTAAGCACAATTTAGCCTAGAGCATGTCTAGAATAAGAAGATAGGCGATTTGCCGATCTGGTGAGGTGGAAAAATTCATGGCGCATGCATGGCATCCGTGGGCCCGTTTGCACCGTCATACACCTGACGGGGAACTACTTGCATAGGAGCTTCCGTAAGTAAGTCTCAGTTGGCAACTCAAGGATGGTCACCTCCACACAAAGGACGGCCCTTGTCAGCAGTGATGCACGCAGTAGTACCGAGCCTTGGATTGCATTTGACACATCGCCTGATGTAACAGCGGCCGAGTGCATGACTGGCGGGCACCAAGTTGTGTCTTACAAACGAATAGCAACTGCTATATAGGGTTCCGACTAGGGGTGTGCTGCTGGAATATTAAAGCGGAGTGCAATTGCCGGATTGGTGCGTAGTATTACAAGACTGAGATCGGTGGTGTAACTGTAAGCGGTAAGCATAATGCTAGAGGTGGCCCGACCTCGGATATTCTATGTGGCAGACGTGCTGATCGAGAAACTTTGCTCTATATTAGCTGCCATGTCGACACAAGTTGCAGCAGCAAGCGCCTCAATACACCCTGATTCATGATGACGGCCGGATCCATCGCTCCTCAGGATGCATTGTTGTATTGGCTTTGAGGCGGTTGGTGGCAGCTAGGTACCGAACCTAAAGAGGTGCGACAGGCAAAAGGGTCGCGGTGGAGCGGCAGAAGGAAAACAAACGCTCGTACTGCGTGAAACCGAGTCACCGCCGGGCCCTGGTAAAGTGGAGAAGATTTTGCGGAGATGCAGGCTGGCTTCAGCTGCTGCGTCGTAAGACAATTAGCATGGGATCGCCCGACAGAAGTTTCATCAGTTGCGCGCTCGGGTGAAGCGAAGGTACAGACGTGTACACGATACCCACGGTCCGGCATGCTCGTGCGGCAGTCTTGGCTAGGTAAAAGTGATGCAGAGTCATGGCTTGTTCTTGTTGATGTACCAGCAGCTTGTACACACAAGCGAGTCAACGGCTGTGAGCTGGCACAGTGGCGGTCTGACTGGTCAGACTCGTACCCCGGCTACGAGCGCATATCGTGTATGTGGAAATGCCATCTTGCCCCGTGGTCTTAGCCCTAGTGATGTTGAGTGGGGTGTCGGTGTCCGATTCCCTCTTCGTGCGTCACACGCGCATGTTCGAGATGCTGTACCGCTGGTGCTTGCCTGAGGTGTGCAGTAGGACTTGTTTCCGGCAAATATCCAAGATTGCGTCGAGCACAACTTGCAGCAGTAAGGAGGCTCACCGACGAGCTAGTGTGGCTGCTGATCCAAGCAGACAGGAGGCTTCAACGGAGGACGGCGATTGGACCAGGGGCTCTCGACGTTGAGCAAGTGGGCTCGCGAGCCGCCTGGTGAGGCTAATGCTCGCTGGTGGGCAAGGATAAAGTGCCGCCGCGCCCGCAAAGAGAATTTCGCGTTCGCATGGGCCGACCATGATCTAGAACACATCACACGCAGACAGGCCGATACCATGCTAAAGGATCGTCGTCGTCCACAAATAATGCAGCTACCAAGCCGACCGAGTTCTTTTTCAT